ATATGATAAAAATATACTTTTATGGTGTATTTATATCTATATTTATGGGTTAAAATGCTCACTATCATGGATAGAGCATATGTAAATATAAAAGTGGACATTGGAGTCAACACCAAGAAGCGACAGTCTGTTTCATGCTTAAACATAATCTTCGAGCTATGAAGATTGAATTTAAGCATAAAACAAACTGCCGCTGCTTGGTTTTGATTTCACTGTCCTCATATATATATATATATATATATATATATATATATATATATATATATATATATATATATATGAAGTCCTTTTCGAGTAGGAATTGCGTTGTTTATAATTTTTACACCATTTCATTCATTTTTCTGACATATAAAAATTAATTTTATACATCATATTCTCTCATCAGTACCTGTGTATGTTTGTGTGTATATTTGTGTATGTGTGCATCTGTGTGTATCTTTATTTATGAGTGTTGTTTGCAGTGGATAAGTAATACATTTATAACGAGGCATTTATTTATGTGAATGGGGCTGGGTATATTTTTGCTAAATTTTGTGACTTCAGACATCATCATCAGGGAATCTAATGAAGATCTTCAGCAACTTACGATTTTTGAAATCACAGAGGATCCATCCCTTACACAGCAATTTCCCATTGCACTAAGAAAGATTATGTCAGAAACAGAAATTTTTGTGCTGAAATCTATGTTTCAGAAAAGTCTTGCCGCCTTTTATCTTTAAGCTTTTCACCCCAAGCAAGGCGGGAAGCCACTAGAACGCAAGGGGTTACAGAGAGTTGGAGCGAGAGCAAAGAAGAGTGATAGAGGAAAGGATGAAGGGGAGGATTGGAGATAGATCAAGACACCTAGAGACGTCGATTGACATTACATTTGAATAGTTGGAGATTATAGCTATCAGAGAAACAGGAAGAGGACAGGGAGTTCCACAGAAGAGAAGTGCGAGGCATGATGCTATTGGAGTAGAAGAGACGGCTACATTTAACAGTTTCGACAGTGAAATATACAAATGAATGAAATGGAACAAAATAAATAAAAACCGCCCGCACGTTTCAGATGTAAAATCGAGCCATGGATAAAAAAAAAAGGAATATGGGATCAGAATATTTTTTTAATATAAAGGATCAGCTCCAAAATTCTGAATGATTAGTACCTGGCAACTGATCTATCCTCTGACCTAACCCTGGTGGCCAATGAAGATTGACTGGCTTGTAAAATTCAATACGCCTAAAAATAAACCAGTAAGATTCCATTACAAAAGAACTTTTTACCTATAGATGGGTGTTCTCTGGCGAAAGCTCCTTGTCTTGAACGAATCAATCTCACCCTAGACCTCCAGTGGAACTCATATATACGATCTATTTCTAAAGATGCTCGTAAAAGGATCGGTTCATTGTATCGCTCCAGTGAGTATCTAACTCTTATCTTAACTGGAGTTGCCTAGTCCTCACTTGCCTGACAATAGAGATCAGAATTTTCTATGCGGCCCTGTGGGTGATGAACTATTGTTTTACTCTACATAACCTTTCCAACAGAGAAAATGTCGCAAGCCTCTAGCTATTTCCATAGCATGTGTTCTGTTCTTATCTCTCTCAATACCCCACCTCAATACCTCCCCAATATATTATGGCGGGGAGGTAATATACTAGACTTTCCCATTGACGTGTGCTCTCTTCAATTCAGTTCTTAAGGAAGTCGTTTCGATTATCAATGTTTTTTCTTTCTTTCTTTTTTAAGCATTTCACCCCAAACAAAGCGGGCGTGCCACTAGCATGCAACGGGTTACAGAAAGTGAGAGCAAGAATAAAGAGGGGTGTTTGAGGAAACGATAAAGAGAAGGACGGCGATCAAGATCAAGGCAACAGAAAATGTCGATTGACATTACATTTTAATATTTGAAGATTATAGCTATCAGGGAAGCAAGTAAGAGGAAGGGAAGTTCCACTGTTGGGAAGTGGGAGAGAAGAAGCTGTTGGAGTAGAAGTGACAGCTACATTTAACCCTTTCGACAGTGAAAGGGTGGTACCGAGATGCCAACCTGGTAGCACACTTAAATTCATGAAGTTGGGTACCAGTGAAAGTAGCTAAGTCAGAGCAGTTGCCATGAAAATATTTCTAGAAAAAAACAGAGGGAAAATACATCATGTCTGTGCGATAGTGACTCTAGACGAGATGACCGATCAGAATCTATCGCATTGCATATCTGTCTTTGGATATTGTCGAGGGACTCGAGACGAACAGCGGGAGCACCAGACCATATATGGCACCAGACCATATATGGCACCAGACCATATATGGCAGAAGTATTCAATGCAAGGACGAATGGTTGATTTGTAGATTTGAAGGATAGACTCAGACAAGAAAAACCTTCTGGCGCAACACAGAGAACCAAATTTCCTTGCGGTAGATGAAGCTATTGATTCAATGTAGTTGCCCTATCAGAAGTCAGTGGAAAACGTGAGACTAAGCAGGCGCAGCGAGACGCTCTCGTGCAGTTGGGCATCA